TCTCCATGAAGCTTGAGTGCCTAGTGCCCCAAGTGTGACACCTCAAATGGTTCACACAACACCAAATACACTTGGAATAACTTGAGAGAAACTTGAACACTCCTTGAAATCGTCTAGCCCTCACACTCACACATTAGTGCACGATTTCTTTAGCCATGGGATTCTTTTATATGGTGGCTATTAGGGTTACACCATGTAACACATAACTTTACCCATTCCTTATGCTCCATGGATTTTAACCTCCATGGAGTATCCATGGGTCACCCCATGGACTTAGTCCAACATAAGGAATCTTGGATCACAAGCCCACATATATAAGAATGAATGATTTACACAATCAACCCATATATTTAATTAGTCTCCTTTTGATCACTTAATTAGTTCCAAATTAATTCTTGATCAATACTAATTAAATAACCTTATTAATATATTAGAACTTATAATATATTAACCAACCTTAAGTGTTATTTCTCTCATTATAGTCTATCCAAATGCATGATGCCATGCAACCCAAATGGACCATGCCGGGTCGGGTCAAGTCTTACCAATTATAGTTATGGACTTAGACATTAATCCAACACCAACTTCATTATCAAATGAAAAGGTGAAACCTTGTTTATACAATGCATGAAAGGAAATAATATTTCTTGCCATTTCTGGCGAATAACAACACTTATTCAAATCTAAATTAAACCCACTACTTAGCAATAAAGTATAAACTTCAATCTTGGCGACAGGTAAAGCTTTCCTATTCCCCATGATTAAGTTTATTCTTCCATGCTCCACATTCTCACTTCTTCTTAGTCCCTGCAAATCAGAACAGATATGAATACCACAACCGGTATCAAGGACCCAAGAGTTAGAATGGGGTGAGTTATTAGATAAGATAGTTTAAATACATGCATGGTTGGGTTTAACTTTCCCATCCTTCATATCTTGCTGGTATTTTGGGCAGTTCCGCTTCCAATGTGACTTTTCATGGAAATAGAAGCATTCAGCCTCTTTTGGGTCAGAAGAAGGAGTGACGAAACCTTTCTTGGTTCCACTTGAAGAAGAGCCATCAAGGGTCCTAGCCTTGGTACCCTTCGAAGAGCTCTTCCTCTTCTTCCCTCTACCTTTCCCGATTACCAAAACCAGGGCGGAGTTTGGAGTAGGAGTGTTAACAACCGACTTACCCTTAAGATCTGTTTCTGCGGTCTTGAGGCGTCCCCTGAAGTTTGCTGAGTGTGACCTCTTCCTTATTCATGTGATATGTCATGCGGAATTTGATCATAGCACGATGGTAAGGAGTGCAAAATGATATCTATTGCAAGCTCCTCAGGGAAGTTCACATTAAGCTTCAGCAACCGATCCACATACCTTTGCATTTTCTGCATGTGGCTCGTGACGGATTCCCCGTCCTTCATCATGGTTGTTATGATAGAGCATATGATTTCATACCTCTCTTGTCGTGCACTTTGATGGTATCTTTCCATCAGATCTTGGTGCATTTCAAAAGGGTAGAAGTGCTCATAGGACTTTTGGAGTTCCACTGTCATGGTGGCCAACATGATGCATGCCACTTTTGTAGCATCCCTTTCATGTGCCCGGAAGTCAGCGATCTCCTGGGGAGTTGCAGTGGTCTCATCAATCTCCTTAAGCTCCTTGTCAAGGACATATTCTTTGTCCTCGTAGCGGGTAATCATCCTGATGTTTATGATCCATTCATTGAAGTTGGATCCATCAAAAGTGACTTTCCCACACAAGTTCATAAGGGTAAAGGAGCCATTAGGATTAGAGCCAGAAGCAGCATTGTTTGAAGACATCTGAAAGAAGAGAACACGATTAGTTTAGATATTAAGAGAGTCCTTAATAAAACACCCAAATGTAATATTAAGGCTAGGATCCAATCACAATATATTATAACTTAGAAGAGGTATGCCGTAATCCAAGCTATAACATATTTGAAAGGTAGGTGAATGACGATTCACCAATTTCCACCATGAAAAACGAAATATAAATATTAGGTTTTTAATTGGTTCTTAGAAATTCCTAGATTCTTTTGAGATTCAATGAACTTTTCAAAGGCATGTTTTAATCTCGAGTGTGCCCTCCAAGTTTTGTGACTGGGATACCGAGGATCACAAAACGAGGTGTGAAGTAACCATGCAAATCACTTGGTACCCTCAAGGTTTATCACTCAATCGATGTGCCGGTAAACCACACACGCTCCACCGATGCTATGGTAACCTTAAGTCACCCTTTACCTACCTTGTTAAGTCCAAGTTAGTGTGTCGGTTAACCACACACGCTCCACCAACGACTTAAACAAAGTGTAAAGTGTAATTTCATGGATTAGCACCTTATTCACATTTTCCTAAAGTAACTAAGATTGGGAATTTAATAAAAGCATTTAGTTACTTTATAATATTCATCATACTTTTAATGAGAATTTATAAGTCCTTGTCTTACCCGTTCGGCTAACGACCCTCCACCGATCAAGGAAGCGGTGGGTGAGAGTGGACACCCATTAACCATTATAGTATCGTTGATACTATATATATATATATATTAGTAACTTATAATATTATAAAGTATAAGGGTTGAATTTTAACTTTTAAAATTCTAAGGGTTGGAACTAAAGTTTTAATCAAGACTTTACATGTTTCAAAACTTGAGGGCAAGTTTTTGTAAACTTCCAAAACTTCTCATTTCTTATAACTTATGAATTAATTAAGTAATAAAAATGAAGACTCTTCATTTTTATAACTCTTGTGTTCTTTTAATTGCTTTAATAAAAGTGAGACTTTTGGTTTTCCATAACTTGAGGACAAGTTATGGACTCCATTAAAACACATTATGATCATGAATTAAACTACCATGAAGGTTACAAACAATTCCTATGATCATCTAATCTTCATAAGTTCAAGAACATGAATATGAACACTTTCAAGAATCAAAAATTACACTTAAAAAAAAAACTTGTAATTTTAATAATTGTCATTGTAAATGGATTAGCATAAACATTACACCATCTAAAACAAGTTTTAAAACATCAAAACAGTTTAGGGTAATGTTTCTAGTCCATTTCCAGCAACAAATGTGCAAACTTTCATACGAGCAGAAAACAGAAAAACGATTTTTTTTTCAAGCTGTATGCACACAAAAAAAAAACAACAATAAAACCTAGGCTCTGACACCACTAATGGGTTTTGAGCATTCTAACACTTCCTAAGTGTACATGCAACCCTAATAACCTTGGATCTATGTTTGTCTTGTTGTTGATTATGATCCTTGAAACCTTGTGAGCCTAGCACCCAAGTGTGATGCCTCAAATGCTTCACACAACACCAAATGCAAAGGAGTAAACTTTGAGAGAATCTTACACTTGCAAAATCAGCTCTAGCCCTCTTGTTTCTTATGTGTCGCCAATTTTGGTGGAGAATGGGTTTCTTATATAGTGTTGACACATCTAGGGTTACACCATGTAATCCCTAATGTGTCATGACTCTTCATTTCCATGACCCATGGGTTTGTAACTCCCATGGAGCATCCTATGGGTGGAACCCAACTTGATAATCCATGGAGCCTCTTAGCCCACTATATAAGATATGGAAGATTTACATAATCTACCCATATATTTAATTAGTTATCTTTTGATCACTTAATTAATTCTAAATTAATTCTTGATCAAACTAATTAAATAATATTATTAATATATTAGAACTTATAATATATTAATAAACCATAAGTGTTATTTCTCTCATTTTAGTTTATCCAATTGCATGGTGCCATGCAACTCAAATGGACCATGCCGGGTCGGGTCAAGTACATACCAGAAATAGTTATGGACTTAGACACCTTATCCAACAATATTGCTCTATATACCATTAGGTCTCCATTAAAGCTTCATAGCTTCAAAGCTCCAAGGTTACTCAATCATGGCTTCCTACTTTCTGATCATCTGGACCTCACAAGGTCCAGATCTAGAGAATAACTCGAAAAAGGGTTTGGATGCACCCAAAACCCCAACAAAATGGTGAAACAAGCCCTAACTTCACAATCAAAGGAAATCTACTCAATCAAAAGGAAGGCATGAGTTTATACCAGATCTGAAGCTTGAAATGAAGATGAAACTGATCCACCAACTCTCTCCTCCTTGATCCTTGCAACACTCTTGATCTTCTCTTCAAGGAAATGACCTCAAATTAGCTTTTATCTCTCTCTTGCTCACAAAGGACTCTAGGGTTTCTCTCAAGGGATGAATGGCACTGATGGGAGGTGTCAAGGAGGCTATAAGGGCCTTTAAATAGGCCCAAGCCCGAGAAAATTAGGGTTTATGTCCACAGCGCTGACTCGTCGAGTCGGTTCATTGAGTCGGCGAGTCCACTCATTTATCCACGTCACCAGTCGCTACGCGACTCGACGAGTTTAGGCACTAAACTCGTCGAGTCCCTCCTAGTTTCTCAATTTAAAATATTATACCTAGAAATCCGGATGTTACAGTACTATTATTTAACCATTCAATTCCAAGTCTTGGGCTAAATAGTTACAACTTAAAGATATCATTTGATCAATGGTATTTTGTTGATGTCTAACTTTTAAAGCCTTGTGGTGTAGACTGTACTAAGCAATAAGCAATGCATTTAATACATCTTATATCTCATATGTTGCATGCAATTACTTAATTTCCATGTTATATAAATCATGTTCTACAAAGAACAAATCATGTCCAAAAAAAGAACTTTGATTTATTTTATAAAGCGTTAATGTTGTTATGCAAGAAATAACAATGAACTATGATTTGTTTATTATAGTCTGTACTTTCCCTTTTACCTATTATAGCATTATTCTTTGAAAAATATACAAATTAAATTAACAAAATGTACTCCCAATTAACTGTTTAGTTTTTCTATTATATCATTCAATTTTTTAAAATTAGTTTTTGACTTTTTTTCCTAGGAACCGATGCCTAAAAGGATTTGAGGCTTGATGTGTTTAGAGAACTAGTATTTGATTTGCTATTGAAGAGAGTTTTGTGCATGTTGAATAAGTTCTAGCAATTTGCCTTTGTTGGCTTCTTGAGTGCTACCTTTCAATTTATATTTTTGCTTCCTCATTAATGCAATGGATGTCTCATTAACAATGTAATTGTTGTTGGTTTGTTTAATGTTGCTGGAGCACGATTAATATTGTGGTTAATTGTGGAAAAGGGGCTATTATTTTGGAATAGAGTACGGTTAAATAAAATACAATACGGCTAATAAAGTGTGTATTATGTGTGGATCACATGTGGAGGTCTTGTGGAGATAGAGTACAGTTGTTGTTTAACCGTACTTTATTGTGGCACTAATCTAATACACCCTCATTATAGTACGGGATGGTAGCCCGTACTCTATTTTGGAAAACAACAGTATTATATTTATGTTTTTCTATTATATATATATATATTATATATATATATATATATAGAGAGAGAGAGAGAGAGAGAGACCTTAATGAAAGATAGTTGGAACATCTTATGAAGGTATCTTTGATTTTCTTCATCCTCTAAGAGTTGCTGGCAATTAATTAGCCATATCTTGTACAACCATTTACCCTCCGTTGATAGATCTCCAATCTTTCTCAATGAGGTACAACCATTTGCCTTCAACACTTGTATGCTTGATGGAAGCATACACAAACTTTCAAGTCTGCAGCACTCATTCAACTCCAGGCGTTTAAGACAAGAAAGATGGCTAATGAATGATGGTAACCGGACTAATTTAGAGTTGCGACTTAAATATAATTCTTCCAAGGAGGAAAATGCATCGGGATTTTCAGGGAAACTTTCCTCTCCAATTTGTCTCCGACTAAGATTTAATTTTCTTAAGGACGACAAACCTATGAAACTATGAAAACCAATAGACATCTCTACATACATCTCTGGACTTTTAAACTCATCAAATCCTAACCAAAGCTCTTCTAACAATTTCATGTTTCGAAGCTTCTTTGGAAGATTTTTCAATTTCACGCAGTTGTGAAGACGAAGGCACTTGAGATATTTTAAGCCACAAATTGAGTTTTGTATGTTGCTAAGCTTCACACAGTTTGCGAGACTTAAGAATCTTAATCCAGACAAATGTCTTATTGATGACGGCAACTCTATTATGTTAGAGCAAGAATCAAGATTTATTTCTGATAGTTTAACCACACATGGGGAGACTTCCGGGAATCTTTCAAGACTCTTGCATCCAGAGAGAATTAGAGTCTCCAAGGATTCCATCTCAAGCCTGGATGGAAGACGCATGAGCCTACTGCAACCATTCATGTCCAAGTAAACAAGCCTTCTGTGAGATCCAAGAGACTCGTGAACCTCCTCCAATTTCCAACAGTGTGACAAGATTAACCTCTCTATATTTGGGGCCCCAGTTACATGTGGAAATGATGTGAGGCTGTCCAACAATTCGAGGTGAACGAATTTCAAGTTTGGTAGAATCTGACAAGTAAAACAGAAATTGAAAAAAACTTAATATTGAGGTCGTTTCATAATCAATACAAATAGAAAGCTAAATACCTTTTGCCCCTTCCATAAATGGTTGATGCTTCCATTGGCTATTTCAAGCCCAACAAGCTTACACTTATCAGCTAATGGCAGAGTCATGAATGGGTACTCAGTCCAACGAAGCCATCGCAACTCGTCGGGGAGAAAGGTAGGTATGGTAGAAGTGAATTTCCCATCAATATCAAGTAGCCGAAGATTTTCCATGTTTGTAAAAACATCAGCACGAGTAGCCAAGTTCGCATCATAGTCATCAACAAGGTATTCATTGTCCATCATCATTATCGCTTCAATTGCTTTTCGCTTCTGCTACAGAGAACTAGCTATGATCAAATTCGTGTACCCATTCTAGAAACATAAATGAATAGAAACGAAGAAAGCAACTTTTAAAGACAGTAATTAATTTCACCTTCTTTCCCTTGATGAAATCATGGATCTGATCAAGTTTCCATAGCCTGCTATCCAGGAAACTCTCAAGAACTATTTGCCAACCCATTTCCTGTATGAGATCATGCATATCTAGCTTTTTATTATAAACGGTTATAAGACATTTTTCAATAAGAACACTAATCCCTTTCACTGGGTGAAAACCAAAGCTATCAAGTACTCTAGTTACATGTTCTACTTCTTTCCCCTTGAAGAAACATGCAATGTCTAGGAATATTTTTTTCTCAAGATCATGCAGCCCATCAAAACTTAACTTCAGTTTGTCATGAATCTTACCATCCGGTGCTTCGGCTAATCTATCTAAAGCACTTTCCCACACACTTACTTGTCCTCCACGGAAGAATGCGCCTAAAACTTTCAGGGCTAAAGGAAGGCAGCCGGCATACTGTATTACACGTTCTGAGAGCTCCTCATACCCTTCATGAGGGCTACTTTTCCGAAAAGCATGCCTACAGAAGAGCTCTACAGCTTCACTCTTACGTAAAAAATCAGGTTTGTAAATGACATCTGCATCTGATAGCAAATGCTCGTTTCTAGTGGTTATAATGATTCTACTTCCAGCACCAAACCACACACGTGTTGCAGCTAGGAACTCTAACTGCTCAACATCGTCTACGTCATCAAGAACTAGAAGAACCTTTTTACTGCAAAGTCGTCTTCGTATCACATCGGCTCCATGCTCAGGACCCTCCAGAAAATCATGGCGATCTGTCACTAGAGTATCTCTTAGAATCTGTTCTTGTAAGTCACGTACACCTTTTTTACCAGAACTATTTTCTCTGACATCTTCAACAAAGCTACAAATCTCAAATTTGTGAGCAATTCTTCGAAATAAAGCTTGGGCGATAGTTGTCTTACCAATTCCTCCCATTCCCAATATCCCTACCATGCGCACCTCTTCTGTTGCTTCCATACACAATAGTGAATATAATTCATCTATAGGAGACGCGATACCAATTTAAATTTTTCTCCATATCACATGGGTCGTATACCATATAAGATCTTTTCCACAATCTCGATGATGATGGCAGATTCTCCCCTATACGGGTTTGAAAGGTTAGCATGCTAAATAGATGAAAACGAACTAAATTGGTTACTAAAAATTAGTCCATCCTACAGCTGGATAACAAATGGTTTTGAACAAAATCCTTATCGTTTTTGACACAATATTCTAATAGAACATAATAAACTATGTCCACAGGCCATGTATGTAACTGAAGCTGCAGATCTAGCAAGATTCGCCCTTACAGAAAGATTTGAATTGTAAATATATGAAATCGTAATCGGTTGACAGAAATTAGCACATACTACAGTGGGATAACAAATGGTTTTGCACAAGATCCTTATCATTGGTAGCACAATAACCTGGTAAAACAATAGATACTGTGTTCATAAGTTCTGTGAGTAATTGAAGCAACGGATCAAGGAAAACTTACTGATCATTGTTGAGTATGAATCCACAGAAATGTTGAGTGTGAATCCACAGAAATGTTGAGTGTGAATCCACAGAAAAGCTGGTCAAAAATGGCAGGAACAATGTGAAGTTGTGAAGCCACAATTGTTGAATGAAGACCCAGTTGTGTTTTTTGACTACTTCTGATTTCCATCTCTATAAGAGATTATTCTGTATTTGTAAAACTTGTATCTAGTGTAACACAGAAAGAGTGCAGATTAGCACCAAGAAATGTAAATTCCTAGTTACCGGTGGACGTAGGTCAGAGAAGGACCGAACCACGTTAAATCCATCATGTTCATCCTTGTGTTCTTGTTTTTCGTGAGCTGTGTGTGTGTTTAGAGTCGTGTGTTAAGTGTCTCGATCCTAACAAATGGTATCAGAGCAAGGTTTTAGCTCCAGAAGGTGATTTTCAGTTTTTTGGTCGAAATTTTTTTTCGTCAAAAACGATTTTGGTGTATACCGTTGGAAAGGTCTCGTTCCGAAGATTCCGAAAATATTTTTTTCTGAATTTTTTGACCACCGGAAGACGTCCAAATCGCCGGTCAAAGGTTTGCCAGAATACTGACCGGAAAAACCAGTTCCGCCGGAGAAGACGACACTGTAGCGCCTGAACTTGCCGGAGAAGACGACACTGTAGCACCGAAGTTCTGCCCGAGAAGACGACACTGTAGCAGTACTGCAGATGTACTGTAGCACAACGTCAGCGGTGACGTCAGCAGACACTGTAGCACGACGTCAGCGGTGACGTCAGCAGACACTGTAGCACGCCGTCAGCGGTGACGTCATCAGACACTGTAGCAGGCACTGTAGCAAAACTGTAGCAGATTTGAAAATTTGCAATTTGGCCCCTGAATTTCCAGAAACTTGCAAAATAGGTCATTGTTCTTTCAGAAAATGGAAGAAAGCAATAAGCTTCAGATTGAGAAGTTTGATGGGAAAGATTTTGGTTGGTGGAAGATGCAAATTGAAGATTTGCTAGTGCATAAAGACTTGGACGCAGTTTTAGGTGAAAAACCGGAGGCGATGACACAGGCAAACTGGGAGACTTTGGATAAGAAGGCCAAGGCATTTATTAGACTGACGTTGTCAAAGGATGTTGCCTTCAACATTTTGAAGGAGACCTCGGCAAAGGGAATCATGGAGGCATTGTCTAATATGTACGAGAAGCCGTCGGCAGCAAATAAAGTCTTCCTGATTCGGGAACTAGTCAACACGAGGATGAGGGAAGGAAGTTCAGTTACAGTACACATCAACAATTTGAACTCGATTTTATCCAGACTTGGGTCAGTGGGAATAAAATTTGAGGACGAAGTTCAAGCTTTACTACTGTTATCATCATTACCTGACAGTTGGTCCGGAACAGTTACAGCCGTTACTAGTTCCGCAGGATCGAAAGAGCTCACTTTTGAGGGAATTCGGGATTTAATTCTAGGCGAAGACGTCAGACGAAGAAATTCCGGGGAATCATCAAGTGAACAATTGAATGCGGTCAGAGGTAGAAGAAATAACAGAGGTAGTGGGAGCAGGAACAGGAGAAGGAGTCAGTCGAGGACTCGAAATGATGTGACTTGTTGGAACTGTAAAGAGGTTGGACATTTTAGGAATCAATGTCCAAAAGACAAGAAAGAAGTTAACGTTGCAGTAGACCATTCAGATGATGATGTTTTGATCTGTAGTGTGGAGAGCAATGTGGATTCCTGGGTTATGGATTCGGGTGCTTCATTTCACGCTACCCACAGCCGTGAAGCACTGCGGAATCTGAAAGAAGGGGATTTTGGTAAGGTAAGACTGGCGAACGATGAGGTTCTTGATGTGACGAGCATAGGTGACTTAGATCTGAAGACTCCAGTCGGTCCATGGACTTTGAAGGATGTCCGAGTAATTCCAAGTCTGAAGAAACAGTTGATTTCTGTTGGGCAATTGGATGAACATGGACACGAGGTTAAGTGGGCAGTGGAAGGTTGTCAAAGGAAATCTTGTGATAGCTCGTGGACATAAGAGGGGTTCATTATATATGGTCAGTTTACCGTCTGAGGGAGTAACCGTCCCAGTTCAGAAGAAAAACAAAATCCGGTTCATAGAGTCTCGTGGACAGAAGAAGGTTTGCTTTGCAGATGGCAAACCCAGAGTCACAGGTCAGATTCAGGTTGAACGTGTTTGGAACGGTTCAGAAAAACCAGTCAAGGGCATTCATAGCAGTGGGAGCATGGGCTTTGTTTCAGCTAGAATACCCAGAACACAGTGGGTTAAGAGAACCAGTATTCCATCTGTAAAAGTCTCTCCAGATTATCTGCTTCACATGGAGAGTGTCGTTTGTTCTCAGGATGTTCCAGGATCGGGCAGTTCATTTCAGTGGGAGCCGATGGAGACAGAGAACAGGTCAGTGGCAGACTTAGCCATGACTGATGTGTTGGAGCTAACGAAAGCTTCAACTGGCCTTCAGGTTAATTAAAGAGAAGGCCAGGGTAACTAGGAAGGAGTTAACATCAAATACAGATGCAGAGTTGAAGCACAGGTGAAGATTGTTCCGTGGCTTCAAGTGGGAGATTGTTGAGTATGAATCCACAGAAATGTTGAGTGTGAATCCACAGAAATGTTGAGTGTGAATCCACAGAAAAGCTGGTCAAAAATGGCAGGAACAATGTGAAGTTGTGAAGCCACAATTGTTGAATGAAGACCCAGTTGTGTTTTTTGACTACTTCTGATTTCCATCTCTATATAAGAGATTATTCTGTATTTGTAAAACTTGTATCTAGTGTAACACAGAAAGAGTGCAGATTAGCACCAAGAAATGTAAATTCCTAGTTACCGGTGGACGTAGGTCAGAGAAGGACCGAACCACGTTAAATCCCTCATGTTCATCCTTGTGTTCTTGTTTTTCGTGAGCTGTGTGTGTGTTTAGAGTCGTGTGTTAAGTGTCTCGATCCTAACAATCATTGCCTGTTTCCTTGATATGCCAGCCAGATAAACCAGCAGCTTCAGCTAAAGCTTTCCTCCACTTGTTCACTTTCTCCATCTCTCCCTTAAACCTGCCCTGGTGTTTCTGAAAGGCAGTATCGAAGTCTTGTTTCACTCCACGCACATCGGATGGATCTGTGTGATAGAACACGGGTAACACCATCTGTCCCATCTGATCTTGGCATTCCATGATTTTGACAAGCTCATCCAAACACCATGAAGAGTCCGCATAGTTTTTAGAGAAAACAACCACAGCAAATCTCGATTCTTCAATGGCTTTCAGCAGCTCCCTGGAGATCGGTTTCCCTTTATCGAGCGTCGAATCGTCTTTGAACACGTTTATTCCTCTTTGATCTAGAGCCGTATAAAGATGATCTACAAAGCTGTTGCGAGTTTCTTCTCCCCTAAAGCTTAGGAATACATCATGTGTCCATATTCTAGTTGGTATAGCAGATGATGAAGATGAAGACGCCATTGAAGGTTTCAGGAAATTGAAGGTATAGTGCTGCTAGTCGAAAGAACAAAAAGAGCTACTGTCATCGAACTGTTACGTACCTTTAGACTTTAGAGTATGCTGTGATGGAGAAACATTATCTGATGCATGATTATATGTAAAAATTGAGTGTGGGTGTGTGTAGGAGTGGATGTGTGTAGGAGTGTGGATTCGCTACAAAGAATGCGTACGATCCTTCTTGTTTGTGCATGTGAGTTGTCAAGTCATTGTCGACTAATGCTTTAAAGAGCATCTCCGTTTTAAAAAACTTATTATTTTGAAAAACCAATAAGTCCACTTAGTAAAAAAAAGACAAAATTGCAAGAATGGTCTCTGTGGTATGTCAAAACTAGCAAGTTTGGTCCAAAATAGGTTTGGCTCGCAAGGATGGTCCAATAGTTTCATTTTGTTGCGAGCTTGGTCCAATTTCGTTTTAACTTTTTTGTAAAGACGATTTTACCCCTTATTATTTTATTTTTCATTTTTGTTTTATTACCAACAATTAAAAATAAAACAAAAACAAATCTCTCTCTCTCTCTCTCTCTCTCTCTCAGAAAAACAGAAAAAAAAACCCTAAAAGTAGATAAATGCACATTTAGATTCACATTAATCTTTTGTAAACTCACATACAATCGATTCACAATCATATTCATCTCCAGTCTTGCTATGAATCTGCTTTATCCTCATGATCTTACCAACTCCCTTATTGTAAATCCTAGCCCCAAATCGCTAATATGTTATTCTAAACACCAAGGTCGTTAAATCCCTAATTATCAGATGGAAGAACACCTGGTTTTTCAAGTTCATCACCTCATAGATGCTGGCCACTCATGGAAGAACACCTTTATTGCTCCATCCAGTCATCGTCTTCTTCACCCACCTCCATAAACTTCAATAATCGACATCCCCTGTTGTTGTTTACTACACCAGCAAAAAAATAAAAAAAGAAAAAGAAAAGAAGCCATGTTCTTGTTTCACTGCATATCGATCAAGGAGAAGGATATGC